CAAAATGACTGGGCATAAATCACACAGCAAACAATGGCATTTGATTTGAACAGGAATGTGGTGTGATTTCTATCCAAATCACATGTGGTTTCCTGCACTGCTTCTGTGTGAACCCAGGCTGAAATCACTATGACAAGCCTGGGTTCACACAGGAGCGGTGGGGAAACCACGTGATTCAGACAGGAATCGCAACATATTGCACTGCGATTTTGTGCCCATTCATTTTGTATAGACGCAAATTGCACCGCAAGGTATCACTACTCAGTATCGGCGAGCACTTGACTGAAAGTATTGGTACTTGTACTCACTGATTAAAAAAAAGGGTATCGGTACATCCCTAATCTCCTATTTTCAAAGCTTACCTGAACAAGCTGAAGAAAAAAGTTAATTGGCTGCCATGCACAGCTGCTTCAGGTTCTACTGCAATTTTGATACATTTTCCCCAGTGTGTATAATGCAAGTTTGAAAATCGGCTGATTTTTCGTCCGAAAGAATAATCGGCCAATTTTCTTACTGTTAGTGGGGCAATGGCATCAGCCAATTTTCGTGGTTTCTCCTCATTTCGTTTATTGGTCATGCTGGAAAATCTGTGAAAAACAACCAATTTTCGAAATCACTGGTGGCAACATCGGATTACAGAACGAACAATGACCAATAAACGAACTGTCTATGGCCTGCATTAGAGCATGCTCCATTTGAAAACATTGCTTTACGCATTTTGTCTGTGTTTCAGGGAACTCGATCAGCGTGAACCCTACAGGTTGTGCATTTTGCTTTAAACTCTTTATACCACTATCTGCCATTGTATACTTATCATGCTTCCGCTCCCCAGAGGCCACCTGGAGAACTTAAGCCATTTTCAATCAAAGTTTGTATTTTGGGTTTTGTTACAGAAATGTCTCTTTTTTTAAAAACAAGTTTCCTATGCATGTCCTTCAGCACTGTAGTACAACAAAGGTGGTTGCACCTAAGAGTGCACCTATGGATGAAATGGATAAATGATGTATGCTTCATTCAGTGACGTGTTCCACATATTTGTTTTAGTCAGAAGCTCAAAAGAATTTAACCAACTGAAAAGCAACAAGCTATGTTGTATTCAAGGTGGAAGATGAGGTCAGTTGATCTGATTTTCTCCTATGAATGTAGAGAAGAAAAAACAGTAACTGAACTGTGAACTTGTCCTCATTAAAAAATTCCAAGAACATCAATGATTGTGTAGTTGGATGGCATCAGGTCTCCCACTGGAATTTTACAACTTTTTGGTACCCCAGTAGTAAATCCTTTAAACATAAATGAAATATATAAAGACAAGAATGAGACCCACAAAGTAAGGACCAGTAGAAGAAGAAATCTATGAGTGTAGATCTTGTCTCTAGTATTCCTTATAAATCATCAATAGGGACAGTCCACTAGCCAAAATCCACCTAAACCAGAAATGTCAGCTCTAGGTGAAAATGTATCTAAAGCAAAAGGCTTTTTGTAGTATTGGATAGGTGAGGTCAAGCTTCACTTTGCAAACAATACCTAATCGCTTGCACGAAAAAAAAAAAAAACTGCATTTTACTTGCACATGACTGGATGATTGAAGTCAGCAGAGCGTCTTCTCATTTACTAAGTTCTGGAGTAACTGCACTTACAAAGTGCGCAGTCTATTTGCCTTTAATAAGAATTTTAGACCTTTTTCCTTTGCTTTTAGTCCCTATAATAATGGTCATCAGTGAAATACTAATACTCCTGTCATAAAAGTAAGGACAAAAATATAAAATTCTAAGTTATCACAAGAACAGACATAGAGGTTAAACTTTCAAATCGGGGGCATCTGTTGCATCTAAGAGGTTAGTTGCCTCACTTTGGAGAGATTTGTTCTCAGTTTCTGAGAATGAAATGAAAAAAACATAAAACAAAACAAACAAGACATGTAACCTTGTCCAAAACTAAAGATAAAAAAGTTTTGGTTTTAGATACACTTGATAAATGAGTCTTCCGAAACCCATGATGACCCAAAGTTGACCAGCTACTCTCCTATTGTTCACGTGAAAACAAGCTTATGTGTGTCCCAACAGTGATTTTTTTTTATTTTTTTACTGTTTAATAAATACATTAGAACTTCTTGGTACAACACGTCTTGGTGCAATGTTTAAATTTAAAGGATAAGTTCACCTTTGGGAACATGTTACATGTTCCACCCGTTTTTAGGGTGGAACATGTAACATTGTTCCCATAGCTGCAGCCACCCCCGCTGCCCCGCCCCCTCCCTCTGACAGATAATACGGCGAGAAGTTTCTCCGTACTGTTTGTAAAATTTGAAAACAGCGCGGCTGTGCGGGGCTCTGCTCACATGGCTGCGTCACTCATTCACAGAGTTTTGTAAACGAGTGCCTACAAGTCCCGATAGCCTTAGCGGCTGTCGGCTTGTAGTTTTCAATGAATTGCCATGGCACTGTGGAGCACCGTGCTAGTTCATTGAAGCTTCCCTTCAGTATATTTGCTTGCTCATACATCTCCTACGGCTAGCAGATATTCTGAGAGGTCTTCAGGTGACCTGTATGGCACCAGCAATTTACTGCTTTGCACAGTAGCAAACTGGCAGTGAAGCCTAAAGGCTTCATTGCCGGTTTACCTTAGTCAAGATAGCGGCGCCAACACCTGACAGCTGACTGAAGAATCGGCTCGGGTGAGGACACCGCTAGATCCCTGAACAGGTAAGTGCCCTAATATTAAAAGTCAGCAGCTACAGTATTTGGAGCTGCTGACTTTTAATTTTTTTTTTGGAGTGGGGGCCGGAACTCTGCTTTAAAGGTACTGATGTCTATTAATAAATCATTGAGCCCATTTGTTTGTAGTTCTTTCTTTTGTGCTATGCTATACCTACGGTGTTGACATCATATAAAAACAAAGTAGCAATTTAGCAAACAGCTGTCCATTGACCAAGACCTAACCTCTGACCTGAAAAGTTCAAGGTTTAACACACACCACTGAAGTGTTAAGGAGCAGACACAGATAACTGATCTCTATATTAACAATCTACTCTTTCAGTAGCTGGGGAGTAGCTACTCTTGAAAGAAGGAAAGGGGAGGGGGGCGGATTCTGCTATTAATTACAAGCACTTCCAAACATGTTTTTCTTTAAGGATTGATAGGTATATCAACATTTTTAATTAAATACTAAATGACGGTCTTGTTGCATTACTCACCAAGTATGGCAAATCTGAATATCCACAAGGCTTGTCAACAAGCTATTAGGAAAATAATGGCTCTCGTACTACATAGCATATAGTGACAGTATCAGAAGTAGGTGGGAGATATGGAAACAGTTACTGAACATTTATATTGTATAAACCAGTAAACATATGCTGGCTGAACACCATCAGGTTATTCAGAATTCATATTAGTACATTGGATGACTTGACGAATGCCATTTGAAAGTACTTAAAAAAAAGTTTGCTTTCAACATTTTATTTTGGAGTGAATGAAATTTCTTGATTGAAAAACACGTTCAGTCTTTGTTCATTCAAGAAAGGTTTTTCAGTCTTCTCATCACTGTGGTCAAAAATGAAAATCTATTTGACCCCACTAACCATTAAACAATTGAACAAACATTGTTAAAACAAAATTTTTAAAATGAAATTCTACTAGTATATGGCCAGCTTTAGTCAAGTAATAGATTCATATACTGTAACAACTAAAGGCTAGCCTAAGGCAGGCCATAGATGATGCAATTTTCTTTCCTGCAGCCACTGTGTTGATGGGGGAATCCCTCCCACAGAGCTATTGTGTTCTGTTATTGTTTGTGTTTTTTTTTAATAAAGGACTTGTCAAAAATGGTCTCTGTGTTTTTATTTATTTTTGACACTTTGTTTGGTGACTGAGCAGGGGTACAATGTATCCTTACTCATTCACATAGGGGGAAGATTGGGATTAAAGGGGGCTTCCAAATTCCGATAAGCTCCCCACCCACAGTCCCCCACAACCACCACCCAGGGATGTGGGGAAGACACATTTGTTCCCATCAACATGGCTTGGGGGGGGGAGGGGTACTCACTCGTCTCCCCCATTCCTGGCATGCCAGGCTGCATGCTCTGATAAGGGTTTGGTATGGATTTTTTTTGGTGGGGACCCTGTAACTTTTTTTTTAAACTTTGGCAAGGGATTCCTCTCAAAATCCATATCAGATCTAAAGGTTTGGTATGGATTTAGGGGTGACCCCATGCCATTTTTAAAAAAAAAATTGTCATGGGGTTTCCCTTAAAATCCATACCAGACCTGAAGGGCCTGGGGGGATCCCCATGCTGTTTTTTTCTCAAGTGATTGCCAGGCAATTCTGCTTGCCAACCCGCTAAAAAATGCTGGAAACCAACTCTCAGCAGTGGTTAGCAGCATTAAGGAGCATTCAGCGTTTTTTACTGCTGGCACATCGCTCCCAAAAACACAAAAAAAGTTTTTTTTTTCTGGTCCTAGAAGTTGAAGTTTCAAAAACGCTTTTAGACTACAATATTTATTTATTTCAGGTACTTATATAGCGCCGTAAATTTACGCAGCGCTTTACATATATATTGTACATTCACATCAGTCCCTAACCCTCAAGGGGCGTACAATCTAAGATCCCTAACTTACATTCAAACATACTAGGGACAATTTAGACAGGATCCAATTAACCTACCAGCATGTCTTTGGAGTGTGGGAGGAAACCAGAGTACCCGGAGGAAACCCACTCAGGCACAGGGAGAGAACATGCAAACTCCAGGCAGGTTGTGCCGTGGTAAGGATTCGAACCAACGACCCTAGTGCTGCCAGGCGGAAGTGCTAACCATTTAGCCCCTGTGTTGCCCCATAGTGTGAATGAGCACATAGGATAACACTATTTTCTTCTAGAGGCAGAAAAAAACGATCATAAGGAGCTGCTAGGAGCTTATTTATAAGCTAGTGAGCATGGAGCCAAAAGCTTAAAAAATAATAACACTGACAGACTGTCACACATTCCAGTGTGAAGAAGGCATTTACCTTGAAATTGGGAGGAATGATGGTTTTTCCAGCAGGGATTTGAAGAATGATATTCTCACCCTCAAATAACCAAAGATCCCATCTGGATTGGTTGATGAGGAGAGCCCATGGGAGCAGCTCAGTCAACAAGGTCTTGAGATGTGGCTTCCAGAGGGAAAGCTTCACCCGCATTGGGCTGTCCCACTGAGCCAGGTGCTCCCCACTGTAAAGACAAAGTGTCAGCATTACTTGGATCAATGTTAAAACAGCAAAATTAACTAATACAGCTCAAATAAAATTAAAATATCTGATTTAAGTTAATTTTCTCTCAGCAAAGTAACATTTCCACAAGGTACTGCATTCAGCGAAGCTGCTAACAAAAGCTACTTACTACAAATAAGGGATTCCTGGCTTTGGGCAGCTAACTGGGCAGTCAGCACAAAGCGATAAGTGGCTTGATCTATCTGAGCTTTGCTGAACTTGTTCTGCTGTTTTTTTGCCTAATATATATATATATATATATATATTCAACACTGACATTTATTTGGCAGGTGTGCATACTGTAGATACTGTAGAGGTTATTTACTAAAATTGGACAGTGCAATGTCGGTGCAGCTCTGCATAGAAACCAATCAGTTTCCAGGTTTTATTGTCAAGGCTTAATTGAACGAGCTGAAGTTAGAAGCTGATTGGCTGCCATGCACAGCTGCACCAGATTCTGAGTGCACCAGTTTTAGTATATCTCCCCCTGTATGTGTTTTCTTAAGTTCCACTGTAGCCAATTAAGTACCAAATCAAGAGAGAGCATCTTTTCCAAAAATGTGCAAACTGGTTTAGAAACAATGCAAATACAGGTGCTTTGATTGCATGGTGCTGTCATGTAGTTGTTAAAAAAAGAAAATTAAAACAATGCAATTCTGTTTTAGAATGACACTAAGTAAAACAACATACAAACAGTGAAAAATCCATAGACCTAAACCTAAATTATAATTGAAAGGATATATTTTATATTTAGTGATGAATATACTGAAAATGCCATAATAAAGGTTACTTCCCCCAAGTTCCAATCCCATTGAAAAATACACTCATTCTATTTTATGCAACTACTAGAATGTTGCTCCGTTGTCTAGTAATGTTGCATTGAACAGCTTTTGCTCGAAAAATGAATTCACTGGTTGAAAGGATCATATGTAAGAGAAGCAAATGTTTTGTTCGTCTTTGCAAGTTACTGAAAGACAAAGTGTTTTACTATCTTGTAAGAGAGAAGAGCTGAGTCAAACATCTCCTAATTTCAAAAATCTCCAATTTCAAAGCTAAAGGCACTCTCAAGAGAGGACACAAGCACTGACACAGTTAACCCTGCACCTCACTTATCCAACAGGAAGGTGGCACTGCTGCTTTTACGGTTTACAGATTTCATGAAACATTAAACTTTGCTCATCATACCAGAAACACTCAGGTAATCAAATACCCTTTATATTTCCTTATAAATTCTAAGCTAACCCATATAGGGGCTACTTGTAAAGTATCTATTCTTTATTTCTTTTTCTTTATTTTAAGCGTAAATTAATGACACACGTGTTATTAATATATCAATGCTCATTGTAATTGAGGACTGCCTGCTCTTCTGAGAAACTTCAACCCCCAGCATGACCAGCAGTTCTTCAAAAGCTGGAGGAAGCAGGTGAAACATTTATTTATTTATTACAGGTACATATAACGCTGCCAATTTATGCAGTGCTTTACATGTGTGTGTGTGTGTGTATATATATATATATATATATATATATATAAATATAGTACATTTACATGTACCATTTAGCCACTGCGCTCATCATTTATCATATACATATATCCTAAGCACTTCTTTAGAAATACCTTATAAATGGCAACTTCAGCCAAAAGCTCAAACATGTCTGAATCACATGCACATGATTGTTGTATACCTGTAAAATGACTTAATTTACTTCTGCTGCAGCATATTACCGATAGCAATGAGGAGGGTGACAACACTTTTAAAAGTCTGTAATACTGTATTCTCCATTCTGTTTTGTTGAATTTAATACTGACCACACATGCTTCATTTTTTTTTTTTTTAATCTGATTTTTTTTATCCGATTAATGTGTGATTCAACCAAAACGACTGAATTCACAAACAACCATAGTTTCCCTTCTAATCGATTTAGAATCAATTACAATTATATTTGATCAAACTGAGTCAATTGGTCAGAGCTGAATATTATTGATAGTTTTTCATCAATCACCAGCACTGAGATACTTTATTCAGGAAAAAGATTGTATTTCCAATGGTCAAATTCTGAGATTACATGGGGGGAAACAGCGATGAGATTGATAATTTACAACTGTAAATTACAATTGTATCTTAACTAACAATTGAGATGCACATCCCTGTGTTTATCATATTGATCAAATGTGGCTGTCAACTATAGATTGATTTCTATATGAAGCAATTGATCAGAAAATAAATCAATCATTTATCAAAGCATGTATGAACACTATTAGTCAACATCACTAACTTCCACTCTGTACTGTCCCATCCCTGTAAGCCAATCTGTATGCTTTCCCCTGCCATCCATTAGTAGGTGGCAACTCAGTAGATTTCAGGTAAATATATTGGTGGAACTGGAAAGTGTATTCAAAACTTTTGAATGAATACCAGACATACATATATTATTATGACCCACCCACCACGATTTGCTACATGACAGTAAAAGGAGAGTGACCATACTTTTCAGATCCAGCCATTCTCTAGGCTCTTGGCCACTGCTCATCCACTTGTTTTTCAGACTGTTTTGTGGACTGGGCAAGGGGGCAACCGGGCCACTCTGATACCACGTAAAAAGGCAGCAAGTACTGCTGTCCTCAATATAGCACATGCTGTCAGGGCCGTCTTTAATGTGGGGCAAAAGCAGCAGCTGCCCCAGGCCCAGTTACTGTTGTGGGGTCCTAAGCAGCTGCCCCTTGAAATGGAGAGTCCAGGTCCAATGGTGGTGGGATTGGTGCAGCGAAGGCCTTAAATCCTGCGAACCTAAATCCAGTGCTGACAGTGGTGTCCTTAGGGTACAGGCAGGATGATAGTGCCTTGCTCCTTATTATACCCCACACAGCAAGTGGGCGGCCCCTGGACTAAAAGTTGCCACTCAGCACTTTCTGTTTTTTTTTTTTCTTCATTTATTTTACAAAAGCTTGATGACTTTCAATAGATCTCAGCGAGGTAGCTGCTCTGTTACACATGAAAGACTGACCCAGAATCAGGCTGTCTACAAATTATTTAGCACCAGGTTCCCAACGAACATGCGATGTGTTCCGGGAGAGAGACGTCTCGCTTCCATCTGTGCTCCGGGTGAGCGGTGCTACATGCTGGACCCTCCCCTCTACTCCAGTGAAGGGGTGGGAGGGCTGGGTATCCCAGGCAAACCTGGGCACATTGTAATGAGCAAGCCCCTGCTGTTTTTGTGCTCTTAGTGTAAATCACTGCACTGGTGACTCCCACCGTAAGTTCTCTCCCTTTTGTAAGACCACCCTCAACCCTGTCTTTTCTCTCTCTCACCCCCTTACACTCCCCCACGCTCTCTCTCAACCCCCTTTCTCTCCCCCCAACTTCTCTCTCACAAGCAGGCAGGGGGAATCGAGTGGACACTGAAAGGTGACAGCAAGGGATCACTGATCCTATCAACACCAAACACTGCCACTGATCCAATCTTCCCAAAGCACTGCCATTAATCCCATCCCCCCCCCCCCCCCCCCAAGCACTGCCACTGATCCCATCTCCACCACCACTGCTCCCATCAACCCCCCAGCATCACCATTGATCACACCCCCCTCCCCCAGCACTGCCACTCATCCCGTCTCCCCCAGCACTGCCACTCATCCCATATCCCCCACCCCTGGGCTCCTATTATCCACAGGTAGCCAGTGCAAGCTGGAATCAGAGAGATCCCAGCATGTACTGGTCTCTTATTGAATGCTGCTACATAGAAGCATTAAGTAAGAGCCAGTAAGCGGCTGCACTGAGCTTCTGATCTCTGTGCATTCTTTCAGCAATCACAATGAAGAGAGAGAGCAGAAGGGGGGCTGAGTCGCTGCACTATGGGCCTCTATGGGGCCACTATGGGCCTCGGGGTTGTACTTGCCACCTGGGCCAAAATATGCCAGTCAGCCCCTGCTGTTTTTTGCTCTTCGTATATATATCGCTGCACTGATGACTCCCACCTCAAGTTCTTTCCCTTATGTAAGACCTACCAGTACCTTCCCTTCTGCCCCCAGCACCAGAAATATGCTATAATGGTAGGTAACAAACTCACGCAGCAAAGGGTAACAATGCCTGATTTTACCACTTGTGTGATATGGCCAGCCTTTATAAAAGCAAAATTCTAGCAATTATATGAGCCTCAATGATAAAAGATTCTATTACCTTTAAATACATAACTTTTTTTGATTCCTTATTGATTGCTATATTACTGTGATCTACCCTCTGCATTTGTGCTCCAACAGCGGTAGACACCTACCTATCAGTATCTTTTTTATTGTATGGCCACGCAGGCAGAGTGTTGCAATCTCCTCCATAAAAGTCGGAAATAATTTGACTTGTAGAGTACTCGCTTTGTGCTTTCATGGCAATTTGTTTAATTAGAGCTGTTGAGATAGGAACAGCACATTCTGAAGGCTCATCTTCTTCTCTGAAGGTAAATAGAAAACATATACAGTATATTTAGTATTTATAACAGGTTAATATATAGTGCCGTCAATGTATGCAGGTGCCTAACTCACATTCATACATACCAGGGCCAATTTAGACAGGGGCCAATTCACCAACCAGCATGTCTTTGTTGTGTGAAAGGAAACCTGAGTACACAGAGGAAATCCATGCAGGCACAGGGAAAACATGCAAACTCCAAGCAGGTAGTGTGTGAATATAAGGTTAAATGAGACAATTTCCTAAAGAGCAGTTGCTATTGAACAGAATTTAAAATAAAAAAGGAGGCTGACAGGGGAGTCCCTTATGAGGTCTGGCAAGATTTAAGATGCAGGTGGATGCTTCAATCTAAACATGTCCACTACAGACATGACTCTAAATAACTAGGTCTCACAGCAAACACTCCTCAGATCTGACTGGCCTTTCATGTTTCATCTCAAAGCAGTTCCACCGTCAAGATAACAACTGATCATATCAAGTGAACAACTATATCAATCTTCATACATAGCTCCACATTGTAAGGTGACAAACTGCATGACAACGGTGTAAAAGCATACACTGTGGGTGTGGGATTTATATTTTATAAAGGATTAAAGGAAACTGTCTGCAAATTAAGTCCATCTTTTGGGGATACAGAATTGAAATAAATAATTTATTTATTATTAAAAAGAGAAAAAAGAAAAAGAGAACTGGGAACAGAGCCCGGTTACATAACCTGTCAATTCCCATAACTGGCTCTCCACCAATTAGAAAAGAGAATCCCATGGGGCACTGCAGGATTCAAATCTCACAGCCCACATTTTTATAATTGGGCTGTAAAATGCAGACCATGAAGTGCACACACTAGCAGAGTGTAGTGGAGATCAGATAGGACTATTACATTTTTAGTTATAATTATGCCCTTTAATTCAGTGCATGCTATGGTGTGCAAAAAATAAGAGGTCTATAGGAGGTGAGTACAAGCATGTGCTTATTGGGCATCAGGGGTGGAAAACTGCAAAGGGGTGAGGTTTAGGGTGTGGTAGAGAACCCCCCCCCCCAAAAAAAACAAACAAAAAAAACTCAAAATACCTACTTTACCCCTGGGAAGTGATGGAGTGGGGATAATTGTGTCCAAATATCTATATTTTCTGACCAAGGTGAGTTCTGGGTATGATGCATGTTTGTAAAGAAACAAAATACATTTCCTGTCCTAAACACTCATGTTGTAGGGAAGCTCTACCTTGCTTGAAATGTTAGGTGATGAGTGAGGTCTGGCTCGATGTTCTGCAGCTGCTTTTCTAGTCCTTTTCCAGGAATGACTTGTGCTTCATCTATTCCAAGGCTTCTCTTTTCTAAATGTATAATAATGGGATCAGGAAGATGGCTCCTCATGATAAAGAGGGGGCTAAACACGATCTAAAAAACAAAGAACAGAATGACATTACTTTCTGCTTTATCCAGCTGCTTAATGTTGTAAATTTCAGCTTCTAAGGTCGCAGTAACCTTCATCCTTTCCAGCACATGGGAGGTCACTGTGTTGTGCTATTTATTACTCACCATCCTTTGCTGTACTTGAGAGTTGGGCTCCAAGGTTAGCAGTGTGCACCATACGTAAATAATGGCTCTGTTTGATGATGGCACCTGTAAGCAATGAAAGGGATATTAACAAAGGAGCTTATCTTGGAGCTTCATCTTCTTTATCCTGCTTTTATTTTGACAACACATTAGGCACATTAAAATCAGCCAGGACAGTCTTTGCAGATTGAGGGAAAAAAATGAAAGAATTTAAAGGATCTGGGACCTGTTTAATTGAGCTTTCCTCTCTGTGCTACAGAGGTGAAGAAACTCATTTGGGTCCTTGATATCTCATTGCTGATGCAAATACAAATTACGCACACAATAGAACAAACCTGTGAACATAAAATTCTGTACTCTTTAATAAATATAACATAATGGTGTTGCCAATGGTTCGATGAAGCGCAGAGACAAGTATTAATGAAAGTTCAACAGCCATTGCTGCCTCTGGGGCCTTTATAGCCTCTAGTATGTTTGCTAACACTTTTTCAAAATGCATGACTATACAATATATCTGGTTTGAAAGATCCTTTATACATCCCATTTAATCCTTTCCTCTGGTTAGCACAAGTATGGAAGCCTTCATCATATTACACAGTTAAGCTGGCCAATATTCTCCAGCAACTGTAGGATGAATGCCCCAAACAGTATAAAAACGTTGTATGTATTGCTTATAAAGCTGTTTTTTGCTTGAATTCACTTAATGTCCCTGATTATGTTCTCTGTTAGAAAAGAATAGAAAATATTATATTCAGTGAGAAGTAGCTCAGATCCAGATTTTGGTGTTGTCCCTTCTATTTTCATAGAGGAAGAAAGCAGCTCTAATCTACTTTTTTTTTTTTTTAAACTTAGGCACTATTTCTTTTGTTAGCAGCATTCCTTCCTTGTAAAACTTGTGTCCTGGATTTCATTCTCATTTGGACATTGTCTGCATGGAGTTGGCATGTTTTCCCCAAGTGTGTATGGGTTTTCTTTGGATGTATCAGTTGCCTCCCATAATTCTAGGGTTATTTTATCTGAATAAACTAGCCCTAATCGAATCTACTATTTTCCATGAAAAGCCATATCATCCTTCTGAGATAGGGGAAGAGGACTGGGTGTTGTGCATGTACCTCAGCCCTGTTAAAAAAAAAAAAAAAAAAAAATTACATCAGCTACAAAACAGCCCAATATGTGCTGTATGATGTTCCTAATGGCAAAGATGGACTTACACATACAAACAACACTATTATTGCACAGAATTATCAAGCTAAAACATAAATGCCATCTTCCACAGCCAATAAATCCAGACACATGCAAACAATCCACAACCATCCCAGACCCCACTGACACTCAGCAAGATGCAATGAACATGAAGTCTGCTGAACATCGCAGTAAGGGAGGAATTTATTGTATCAAGGAAGTTTTTTTTTTTTTTTTTTTTTTTGGAAGGGCAGGAAATCCATGTCTAACATATCAAGAGTAAAGCAAACAGATGTAAGATATCTACATCACATAATCAAAGAGTAAGGGGCTTGCCAACTTCTAAACAAGCCAGGAACATAGGGTGTGTAAATGAGCACATTGCTTAAAATTTTCTCACACACAAGCTGCGCAGTGCTCCCCAGTAGCGTGTCTTGTAATGTGATCAAGATAGATCACTACTGCAGGCTAGAGCAATGATATCTTATTTTACAGCCATCCAGACCTTTACTTTCCAATGATGCTAACCCTGTTATGGATAAGCTCCAGACCTCCAACTTGCTGAGGTTCCATAAGTCCCAGCATTCCCCACTTCCTGCTTTCTGGCTAAACTGTAGATCTAAAACTCTGGAGGTCTTCCAAGTCCCAGCATACCCAAGCATTCATGAAGAGACTAAACTGGCTTTGGGTAAGCGGCAGACCAGGGGTCGACTGACCATTTGGAAACTTGGGCACTGCCCGAGGGCCCGGGGTCAGTATGGGGCCCCATGAGATACCCCTGGTACCTTTTTCATAGGCTTTGAGTTTGGGCAAGGACACAGGGGCCCTATGATCCCCTATTGCCCGGGGGCCCTATGAGTTGTCAGTCTGCCCCTGCTGCAGACCTTCAGGTGTTTAGTTATCTAACTTCCCAGGCATGTCTTAATCACAATAAACCCACTGTAAACAAACTTTCCAAATCTCAATTTTCACTTTCCTTAAGCCACCGTCACGTAATCATCCAGCACCAGGTCCTTCTCTCTTTTTACTTCTTCGATGGGTCCCTCCTCTGGGTGTCCACATCACACAGACAGTGACATGGACAACTCCCTTTGAGTGGACAGCAGAGGGGTTCTCTCGGGATCCAGAAAAGGATCAGTGATAGATCAAGGGGAATAAAGGGGTTGAGCTGAGAAAGCTGAATAAGTAGTCCCCTCAGGTGAAATCAGTGGGGGATCTGGATGTAGGAACTCGGGTGAGTATAACTGACTTCACCAGTTAAGGAAAAAAGTAACAGCTGGCAGGGTCAGCTGAGTTGAGGAGGAAAGTGTTGGGAAAATTTTAGATTTCCCATTGAATTGGACAGTATTAAACATGTACAATTTAAAAAAAAATTTAGTTTTTTTTTAAAATATGGAATAAGAGGTTTTGCGGATATAAGGCCTTTGTATTAGGGCCAACATCAGTCAAACATTTTTTTTTTTTTTGGGGGGGGGGGGAAGGATAGAACCTGTGTTCCTGTGTTTGGTGTTTATTGATAACTGTTGCCCAACTGGGAAAATTACCAGCAGAGACACAAGCAGCAATAAGGACCTTTTTTGTAGAAGAGTGGACAACAGTTACAGTCTGCAACAGGCTTGTATTGCTGTCTATGTCTACAATGAGATTTACCCTCACTCTCTGTCCAGGAAACACCTTGAGAATTGCTGTGCAACAGAGCGTAGCCGTGAGAGAGAATAAGATCATGTAACCCATAGCTACTAGCCAGAGTAAATTCTCTCAGACCAGTACGATTTTTAATTATTAGTTGAAATGGGTTACTGCACTTAGAGCAACTCTGTGGCTAAAATAAAGTTCAAAGAAACGTGGCCCCCAGCATGAAAGACATTGAATACTCACCTCTCCTGCTGCCTGCACCACTAATTTCTGCAGTAGTGGCGAGAAACTGGGTACCAAGTGGATTCTGACACCTCAGGAAGTTTCAATTTCCTGATCACCACACTGTGCTCAGTGCTTTGATCCACTGGCCCCTATGTCAATACTGTGTCCCATTGTGATGTAGGAGCCAGTAGTAAAAGTGACAGTGTCAGGGGACCAGAAAATCAACACTCCAGGAAGTGTGAGATTTTGCAGGATCCTTAGTAGACGAATTCTTCTTTACTAATAACAATGAATACCTTTATTTATGTAGTGCCTTTAGGGTCATTCACACTGGATGCATTGGGGCTACACTGGCAGCTATTTGCAGTGCAGCCCCAATGCACAGACAAGGCAAATGTCTTGTTTCTTATGTTGTCAGTTCACAGCACAGCATTGCTATAGTGTGTGCTGAAAAAAAGTACAGCATGTAGTACTTTTCTTCAGCACAGTGGGTTGGTAAGCAAACCACTTAATTGCAACGTCACTGCGCTGAATATAACTCTTTTGAAATGTCACCCATGACGTTTCAACAATGTTCTCTGTAAAACGATAGAGTAAACATTGCAAAGATTTTGAAATCAATGCAAAACTTGCAAAGACTTGAGGATAGGAGTAACATGATCACTTGTATTTGACCTTGTCAGAATTCTGGCAGCCACATTTTGGACATTTTGTAGTCTGTCTAGTGTGGATTTAGGTACTGCAAGTAGAGAATTGCAGTAGTTCAAGTTAGGAGAACACAAATGTATTGATCAGTTTTTCAGCCACAGTGTACGATAACGTAGGGCGTAGTCGAGTACATAAAATATGTTCTTCGAGGAAGATATCGGCAGAAAGGACAGCAGGAGCAATGAGGATTTAATTACTTCTTCCCAAGGGTGAATTTGTTTTTAACCTTTTTTTTTTAACCAGAGTTTGTTTAGGTGTAAAAACCCATATCAACCAAGAAGAATCCATTTTGTGTTGATTTCAGCAGAACCTACTTTGAGTATTAGCTATGGTAGCTATGAGTTACATCACATAAGAAGAAAACGTATGAATATGAAATCAATAGTATACAAGGTCTGTAAGGGACCGCCTGGCGGTACCACTAGCGCTCCACTGATTAGGCGCTCCCAGGGCACGGAGTCTAAGCCCCAGGGTACTTGTTCACCAGAGCCCCTGATGGTGGGGATGGACTTGGAGTACCCGGAGACCAGGTCGTGGCTCCTGAGTACGCCTGTCAGTGGTAGGGGTATTCGCCAGGGGCTCCCACGGGGAAGAGCCTGATGTGAGGAGGTCGGGAGACCCCGGTGGGATGGATGGATGAGCAGGTGCAAGGTCAGACAAGCCGGGTCGGTAACACTGGGGTCGGTGCGGTACAAAGCAGCGGGCAGAGAATAGTCGGGTCACACGCCAGGTCAGCAACAGGAGGTCAGATCTAGTAAGGGCATCCAGGAGAGAGGTCAGGCAAGCCAGGGGTCAGAGTGGGAGAATACAGCAAGGGTCAGGTCCAATCCGGGTCAGCAACTTACAGGAAACAGGATCACAGGTACAGGTATGCAGAAGAGACCAGAAGGCACTGAATGACAGCTCAGGGCCGTTTAAATATCGCGCCCTGCGCTGTCATTGGTGCCCGGCGCGCGACCGCGGTTCCTACTGCGCATGCGCAAGCCTGAATGCCGCGGTCGGCCAGGAACTGGTGCCCGCGTCCCTGCAGAGAGCGGCGCACTGCGCCTGCGCCGGGACCAGCG